GGAATCAGAAACTTGCACAAATATTTATGTACAAGAGTTTAGTGAATTATGGTACTATTCATAATTGTGAATGATTGGAATTAATATAAATTCCAATAAAAGAATAGTCACACAAAAGAATTCTACAACTGTTATAACTAATGTTTTAGAAGAATACTAACATGAGACATTTATAACACATGATTAAAGAAAAAGAGCATGTAAAAAAAAACACCAAAAAAAGACTAGATGGACATATATCAGTATGTGATAACTTGTTACCAGAGTTATCTTTACCTGGTAAGAATACAGTTAATTTCCATTTAATTTTTTAAAGCTTCATTGTATTTTCCAAATTTTCTGTAATGAATATTATTTTATAATTATATAATAATGTTATAATTTTAAATCAGAAATAAGGTTATATTCTTTCTTTCTTTCTTTTTTAGAAAAAGAGGAAGGGAGGGAGAAAGAAAAAGGAACATTGATGTGTGAGAGATACATCAATCAGCTGCCTCTCACATGCCTGCCTATGACTGGGGACCCGGCCTGCAAACCAGGCATGTGCCCTGACTGGGAACTGAACTGGTGACCTTTAGGTTCACAAGCTGGTGCTCAATCCACTGAGCCACGCCAACCAGGACAAGAGTATATTCTTTAAAATATATATTATTTAGTGTTAAAGACAATAGGCCCCAAATGGAGTCACCATGCTAAATGCCACATTACCAAACCATGACTTAACTGCAGTCTTGGCTCTCCCAGGTATGGAACCCTCCAATCAGAACTCACCTGATCAGCACTGGTGAGGTCACCAGGCTGGCACAGCCCAGCCATCCATCCCCTCTGGCTTTGATCCACAGTGGCCTCTGCATGGCCTTACTTTAGACACAGGAGAAGTGCTAGGAAAATATCAAGTGCCCGAGTGCTTTTAAAAGACCCCCTGCCCCAAAGGAGATTCGGAACATGAACAAAACCCCATTTCTGTAGCTGTGTAAATCCAGCTGCTCTGAGTTCCTGGAAACTGTCAAGTTGCATCTAGAGGTTGTTCAGGTGAAGGCAGCTGATGCCAAGAGAGAGTGAAAGGTGAGAGGATGGAAGGCACGCTCTGACCCAGCCTTCTCCACATGGCCTCATGGGCCCGGCACTGGGCATCACTACCTTACACGGAAAATGTATGATCACTGGGAACAAGGAAGGCTTGGGTTCCAGACACTGCTCTACTGCATTTTGCCACGTATAATGTGCGTCCACATTTTTATGCACATTTTACATGGAATTATTATACCCATGGCATGTAATCATTATACCCATGTATAATGTGCATATTCATTTTCCCTTCAAAATTTTGGGGAAAAAAGTACACATTATACATGACAAAACATGGTAATTTCATCTCTAACTTAAGAATGTGATCTTGGTTAAGTCACTCAATCTCTACAAACACCAAGTTTCTCACGAGTAAACTGCAACTTAAAATGAGAATGAACTGAAAACACTTGCAAAATGACAAGGACTGAGGAAATAATTCTCCCACTCCAAAGGGTTATGGACACTCTTAAAAGTGGCCACACAGAAAAGCACACATGAACGAGACTTAAGTGAGACATGGGGCAGATTCCCAGGTGTGGGTTACACTGCGGAGGACCCCAGGGTCACAGACACAAACACACCAGGCACTGACCCAAGCCTGAGGAAATGCAGACTTTCATGGGAAACACAGCTGCTAGCTGAATTCTGGAGGTTGCCCAACAAGATGTCGTAATGTTAAAGGGAGAAATTGTGTCTTGCAGAGCAGGGAGGCTCTCGGAGGCCCTGGCCAGATGCAGAATGCAGGCATCGAGCTCCGGACTACACCAAACTTTCACAAAGCTGCCACGGGGTCAGGAATAAGGAACTCCAGCAGCAGGTGAAAGGCCTGGGAAGTCAGCTTTGAGGGACAGACGACTGCAGCTCCAAAACTAGACAGCCCAAGGACAAGGATTTCCTGTTTTTCAGAACTTGGGCTGCTCTAGCATCTAAGAGGCTAAGTCACAAATGATGCTAATAAGCAATGAAAATAGCTTCTTACTGAATAGAACATTGTTATTTTCAAAGGGGAAGTAGGGAAGTGACTTGAGGTATAGTTAGCAGTCTAATGCTGCCTTTGTCACCACTACAGACGGAAAGGCCAGCTCATGTGTCAGACACGTTAAAAAGTGAAAGCACCCGCAGCCTACAGGAGCTTTCTCCCCAAGTGCTTCAAGAAAGAAACGAGGCCAGCCTCCATAATGGTGTCGACTACACAACAGCGTTTCTACAGGGTCCCACAAATGTCGCCACGCTGACCCATTCTTTAATGGAAATAGCCAGAGAAGCAGAAGTACCAAGACTCTGAGAACATCAAAGGCCCCGCTGGAAAAGCCCCCACACGGAGCAATGTGTGGGCCTGAGTCCTTCCATTCTGGAAGGGTGAGGCCTGCGCTGATGATGCTGGGACGAGACACCAAAATCTTTAGAGAAGTGAAACAAGATCACTAAGTAGCCTTTCCCTTAGAATGAATGCTAATTATGTGGTTTTGATTTAAAAGGTACAGAGAGATGTTTTGCATGTTTTACTAATATAAAAATATCATGATCATTGGTCTCTATCCCATGTCTTCTCTTCTAAAAAACACCATTTGTCTCTAATTTGACTTACCTTCCTTTTTTCTCCACCCAAGGAACTACAATGCTTATTTTTAAATTGTACTGTTTTCTATTTGTCAGAATACTGCCTGCTGCATAAATAGCACTGAATCACTTCTCTGTTCTTTGCAAGGATACTAAGTGAGTGTTCCTCCAGTGCCTAACCTTGCCTGCCCACCCGCCCTCCTAACCCTAAAGTTACATGACCACAGTTTGGCCATGTTGTCAAACCCAGGTTAAAATCTGTTCCTTCTTCCAAACTCTCCCTCCCCATCTCTCTGGAAGCACTGCCAGCCCCTCACCCAGGATCACACCCATCTCTGTGCACGTCTGCCCCGCAACGACGCAGGTTCTTTCAGAGACATTACAAGTGTTTGGAGAGTCAGAACATTCTGCTTTCAAATCCTTGTTCTGCCTCTTGCTGCAGTAAGGGCTGAGTGACCCAGCGGAAATGACCGAACTTCTGTGGGCTTCAGTGTTCTAAGCCTCACCCACCAGGTTCGCTGTAAGGCTGCAACCAGCCCAGCCCCAGCGTGCTGGGCTTTCTCTCGCCGTTCTGAGGGCACTGTAGGTGCTAGACACACGCCTGTGTAAAGACTAGATAAGATATGAGTGTGGTAGTAGAAATGGAGGAGTCGCAAGCAATCTGAGAAAGGACAGAACTGGACCTTGACTGCTCTCTGTTGAAATCAGAAATGCTGACCGAGACCGTCTGTCAGTCGGTACATCATATTGCTGACAGATGAACACACACCCCAAGTATCCTCCTCAGTCTACTGACTGAGAAAATACCCATCTTCTTTCATGATCAGTACTGCTATACTCAGGGAGTCCCAGGAGCTTTAGAAGATACGTGCAAATCTATTAAAGAGGTGACAACATAAAAACTAGAAACATATGGGTTGGTTTATAATATGACACATGTAAAGTCTATTTATTTCAAAACTAACATCAGCATCCTTGAATGCAATCCCTTTTCTGCCTTTGTTTGCTTGTTCCAGTGCTTGGAGCTTACTCATTTTTTCATGAAGGTGGTTCATGAATGGTCATGGATGTACCTCCTAATAACTGCTGTCACTAAGTTCTGCCTGCTGCATTGGAAGAGTCATCCTGGAATAAATGAGCACAGGTATCCCCATCCTGAGGACAGCTCTCTCCCCAGAGAGCACACACGTGCCTCCTGGCCCCATTTCCTCCTGGGCACTCACCCCAGCCCCAGTGAGGGGCCGCTACCAGTACACAGCATGCTGGCCGCATAATGTTATCTTTCTCCTAAAAGATGTACAAATGGTGTCCAGAAATCCTACTTAGGAAGCTTCCTTCAGACACACTTGGGGATTCCTATTGCTATGTTTATTTTCTGCCTTATATTGGGAGGAATATAAACAGCATGTGTGTAAGAGAGTGGCAGGGGGGAGGGGATGAAATGGACATGGGGAGAGATCTAATAGTCACGTGATCCCTTGGAAACCAAGAGGAAGTAGGGCATCCTTGGGTCTTGCAACATTCCAACTTTCATTATGTCCCCTTGATGCCCAGCAACAATAATAAAGGAGCAAAAATAAATCCCTCTCTCTCACACACATGCCCCTAACATCAGTACCCTTGGATGCAATACATTTTCTGAGCATCTGTTTGTTGAACACTACACGTTTTTTTAAAAGTTCCACAGGCAGAAAGAGATCGAAACAGTTACAAGAAATGTTAAAATTAAAACATAAAACATCTCAAGATCAATGAGCATGACATGGGTCCTGATCTCAGTATTTCTCCAGCTGATTATGTAAGAAACAATCTATTGTGTTGCATGCATTAGCTGAGGTACTGTGTAGATAAAAAGGTAAAACCATCCTGAAACAGGAAACCAGTATTCTTCCTGTCTAATCAACAAATCTAAAAATTTATTTTTTTTAACTATTTACTCTGGCTTCTGTCCACCACAGTGGGGTGAACCACATGTTCAGAGTAGAGGAGAAAATGTTCATGAGCCACTTTTGTCTCCCCGCCCCCTTAGAGAAAGAGGGGGAAAAACTGCTTCATACAGGAGGCGCGAGGCGTGTGCTTTGGAGCCGCCACAGCAGTGTGGGCTCAAGTAACCGGAGGGACTTCACCTACATCCATTCAGTCAACTATGGGGGTTTAAAGAAATTCCAAAGAGTCATCAGAAGAGGAAAAATAAAGGTAATGCTTCTTGCCACACAGGTAGAACCTTTGAAAATATGTGTAATATGTAAAATATTTTGACACCCCCATGTTATTTTTCCAGAAATAACAGTATAAATATCCTCCCTTGTTCGAGGGCTCCCCATCAGCCTCTCTAATCACTACTCACAGCAACCTCACCACCTGCTGCGATGTCCAAGATGCACTTCTTGTCCTGCATCGCACTAACTCTCGCGTTCATCGTAGATGGTGCACCTACCTCAGGCTCTAGCAGGGACACCCGGCAGAAGCTGGTGGACATAAAGGAGGACTTGGAGAAGCTTCTGAACGGGGTCACTGTAAGTCTGTCCACTTTCCTACTAAAAAGACTCTGTTTCACTTTTCTGCCTGGAGTGCACTTTGTACTAACAATCTGTTGTGCTTTCTCAGAATTACAAGAACCACGAACACTCCACGATGCTCACGTTTAAGTTTTACACACCCAGGAAGGTAAGTACAACTCTCTAAGTTCATTTTTGTGTTTTATTAAGATTTGAAGTAACATGCATATTCACACAGATTGCATTAATAGCATTTCAACTGAGAGAAAGAATTAGTAACTTTGATTTTTAAAAACCTAAGTTTGATAATGGGGTTTTTGTAAAATGGCTTTCTCTGTATATTTTTATGTGGACTTGCTGTGTTTGGGGGGGGAGAAAGGGGGAAGAAGAGACAAGAATGTTATTCTCACATATTGCTGGGACAGTTTTAGAACAAGAGTATGTTGACGTACTGCTTTCTCTGAAAAGGCAGAATTCAGGGATACTCTATGATGCACTTTTACCATGTGGATGATCAGAGCCAATGTCAGAGGAGGCCCCTTGGGATAAATCCCTCGCTTTAGGGAGGAAGCCTACGGATCTGCCCTGAGGGCAGCGGAGCCCACATCCCCCGCAGAGGCTGAGGGCCAGGCTAGTGGAGCAGAAATCTCAACTCTGCCAAGTCCTAGCTTTGTGAACTTGGGCAAGTCACCGACTAACTTTGTAACTCGGTTTATTATCTATATCTGTGAATAACTGTAGTACTTTATGTGGTTCTGTGAGGATTAACGAGTCAAGGAAAAGGACTCCTAATAGTATCTGGCATATGGCAAACACGGCACAAGCACTGGCTATCAGCAGTAGTAAGCAGTGAAGATAAAATTCTCCCCAGGGAGGAGAAAGTAAAATTTCGATTTGGCTGTTTGGGGATTCAGGCAGCAAAAGCAGCACAGCTGGCCCGAGTCCTCATCACCCAGTGAGGACTGCCAATAGCTGGGCTATGCCTGCCCACAGAAAACGGGAAGAGCCCGTCCCAGGGTGCAGTGCGGCCCACAAAATGGGACTTACCGGATCCCAGAGTCGGCCCCATTGATCTACCTCTCAAATTATGCTCCAAGTTACTCTTTTGAAAGATGAAAAGAAATAACTTAGAGATCTCCAGCTTAACCAGAGGCACACATTTCTTACCGCCAGCAACTTAAAAAGACTCTAGACTTTTCTGGGGGGACTGGCTCTAAGTCATGCATGCCAAGAACTAAAGCCTTGAACTTGTAGAACTTGCAGTAGTAAGTTGAGAGGCCAATAGATGCAAATGTAAGATGTGTGGTGTAGTCCTGCCTCTCCCTGTGAAGATTGTTAGAAAGATAACAGGAGATGTGTGCATAGTTTAGAGGGTGGTAGATTCTTTGAAATCTAAGTTTCTAAATGACAAGTCAAGATCTGGTTGAAACCAAAAGTAATGTGATAAACTCCATCCAACTGTTCATTTTACCACCATTCCATCATTCTAAAAGATTTTGGAAAACTAAAAACATTTAACTCAAAGGATGCTATGTAATGCTATAAAAGAAAAAACGGAAATTTAATCCTGTCTCCCCCTAGTCATGTAGCCTTGGGGAGAACACAAATTCTGAGATTTACTTTCCTTATTTGCAAATTTGAGATGACACTGCATTGCCTATCTCAAAAGGTGGCTGTGAGACTTAAATGGACTTATTTAGGAGAAAACACTTTGAAATTATAATGTACTACTGAAGTGTGAAATCTTATCATTATGTGTGTTTAACTCAAGAGGCCCATCCAAAATCCTTCAAATACTGCAATGTTTTATTTGGTTGGCATTATTTTTTAAATGCATCTTAATGTACTCATAGGAGAGTAAACAATGAAGATGCAGTTATGTGACTTGCTGTTGTGACAGCCATCACTACATACAGTGACACTCACCTGATCTGTAAAATGTTGGGACTGCCCGATGGCTTCCCAGAGCCCTTCTGAGAGTCTCAGCTCTTAAACCACGAGATACTGGAATCACAGAACATGAGCCTGAATCTCCGCTTTCTGACTACTCTGTCCTAATGACCTCTGTACAGACTGGGAAAGAATTTAGCCTCTATCTGTGATTTGCAATTGGGTGCAGAAATGTTGACTTTTGCAAAGCCAAATTAGGCTGAAATTAATGATTTGTTATTTGTTAACAGTTAATTCTAATGGTGGGTAGCTGAACCCTAGTTTTTCCAGTTTTATAACGTAAACTCTATTGGTCCATCTTGACAGTAATGCTTACACAGGGAGGAGAGTGGAAAAGACTCTATACTGCTACTCTTAATAGAGTAAATTTGAGATGACTTTCTGATTCACCCTTCGTCAGGGAACACTACCCTAATCATTATTTTTATTATTCAAGGTCACAGAATTGAAACATCTGCTGTGTCTAACGGACGAACTCAACCCTCTGAAGGACGTGCTAAATTTAACTCAAAGGAAAAACTTTCACTTGGAAGAGATGGCGCGGTCAGTGGGAAACATCAATGTCACAGTGAACGCACTAGTGGTAAGGCCTCACCCCACTGCCTGCCTGGAAAGAACATGTGAGGGGTGTTCTGCAGTGGCTCTGCGTGTCTGGTACTTGTGATATGCTCCTACGTTGTAGGCCCACTGTGAGCACGAACCATCTCCACACTGGGTGCAGTGTGGGGTGGGGAGGGGTGGGGGTGTGAGGTAAGAGCCAGAGGGCTTCCTCCTGCCATGGTGACTGGGACAGCTCTGCACTGTCCTCACCCTGTTCACCCTTCACTGGGAGCAGGACAAGACACTTGAGTTGCAGTTCACAGAAAGCAGGCAGGTTTCATCATATATTTTTTAAATTACTGTAGATCATTTTCCAGAATAGCCAATACTGATTACCTGAAAGGCCTTTTGAATGGGGTTTCCTTACCATTGGTAGAAGGACAAAGAGATCTGTCCAAAAAATGGCAACTATTAAAATGGCCAATGGACTAGATGATTAACTCCTTACTTAGAGGCAATACTTTCAGAATCTAAAGCATCTTTAATGCCTGGGAAGCATGGACCCTGCAAGGGACTCAGGTGCTACGAGAGAGATTCATGACTTTTTTCCTCATCTTATTTGCCAGGATACAAAATTCGTGAGTGAAAAACTGTCCTGAATAAATAGCATAATTTTGATAATAGTAGAACCAAGTTTCTAAAAATATGTTAGTTAATGCTAGCTGTTTCCAAATAGGAGTCATTTTATTAGTAGCCTATTTCTTTCCATCTAATTTTTAAAAAATGATAGCCAAGTGCTAGAAGCAACCTAGGTGCCCATCAGTAAATGAATGGATCCAAAAACTTTGGTACATTTACACAATGGAATTCTATGCAGCAGAAAGAAAGGAGCTCCTACCCTTTGCAACAGCATGGATGAACTGGAGAGCACTATGCTGAGTGAAATAAGCCAGGCGGTGAAAGACAAATACCATATGACCTTACCTTTAACAGGAAGCTAAACAAAAAAAACAAACAAACAAGCAAAATACAACCAAAGACACTGAAATAGAGAACAGGCTGACAGGGACCAGACGGGAGAGGGGAGGGAACGTCAGGGGAAAAGGGGAAGAAGAGTTTACAAGAACAAGTATAAAGGACACATGGACAAAAACTAAGGGGGGGTGGAAATGGAAGGGAGGTGGGGAGCACTGGGGGGTGAGCTAGGATGGGAGTAAAAGACAGAAAACTGTACTTGAACTATTAAAACAAATAAATTTAAAAAATACACTGAGAGCAACATCACCTAGACACCATCATCGAGCAACATCATTGATATCTAGATGATATCGATAGACTCTTGTTTCTCATCTATGCCAAAAGGTTTGCTCTAAAGTTTTTGGTGAACATAGGTAAACTCACTCTAAATTCTTGATGCAAAAATTAAGATAAAATTATGAGAAAATGAGAGACTCTGCATTTCAAAAGCCAAGTATTTTAAAAAATCTAACCAAGAAGTTGCAATATTCAATTATACAGGATCTGGCAGAAGTAAGGCCTGCTTGAGTGTGGTTGGTAGGATAATGTGAGTGTAATAATTTATAGTTTTCTTTTTAGTATCAATGTATGGTTGCCTCTCATGCATCCCCTGCTGGGGACTGTCCTGCAACCCAGGGCACGTGCCCTGACTAGGAATCAAACTGCAGTCCTTTCGTTCGCAGGCCCACACTCAATCCACTGAGCTACACCAGCCAGGGCTAATTCATAGTTTTCATTTGAGCATTTCACCTAAAATGTCATATAGTATGCTTGAGTGTGATATTGTCATGTTACAGAATTACATGCTTACGATTTTGTAATAAAAGATTTTGTAATTTAAAAAAGGCATTATTCGTGCCAGACCCATATGTAAAAAAAGAGTAGAGTATCTTACTACAACAGTTTTCTCTCACTCAGTTTATGTTTCCAGGATAAAAATTACTTCAAATTTGAAAGATCTTCTTTTTGTCGTCCTATGAATCAGTCTTAGCTTGGCCCACAGAGGATGAGTTGAAATAGTTCTTATCGGTACAGAAGGTTAATTTCCAAAAACTCAGTACAAAGAACAAAATTTCTAACGTCTAGGTTTTCAAAAGTTGGTTTGGTACCTGATTGATGCTGAGGTAGGGTGGGGGTGGGTATGAGTATTTAAGAAACTGTTTTCCATGCAAACTTCCCCCAAACAAAAGTTTGTCCTTACTCTTGGCTGGTTCCATCTGGTTTGGGGGAATACGAAGAGATTCACTCAAAGGGAGTAACAGGAGACTGGAGGTTTAAAGAAAGAAAGCACAATGGGTCCAGCACTGCATACATGTAACTCTCAGATACAGATGTACACCCAGGTGAAAGGAGGGGTAAGGACTTTATTTTGCATGCAGCATTTAATGAAGTATTTGTCTAGATCTGTTTTTATTTAAAATGCTTACAGTTCAAAGGGAAAAAATCTTGTGTTCATTGAGATGGACAAAATTAACAAGCGAGGGAAATCTCAGCTTGTATGTTACTGTCACCTGATGTTGAAACATGTAATTTTGGCACGCCAATGTGATCATTTAGAAAAAATGTGAATATGATTCACCTACTTGAAAATAAAGTCCATAAGCCTATCAAATAATATAATGAAGGTAAACTACCCTGAATTTTTAAAAAACAATTTGTTTCATAGGAATCCACAGCAGAAACCCCATGCGAGTACGATGACGAGACAGTGACCTTCGTGGAGTTCCTGAACAAGTGGGTGACCTTCTGCCAGAGCATCTTCTCGACGCTGACCTAAAGGCTTCCCATTCAAATGGATTAGGCTTTCTATTTATTTAAATATTTAAAATCTTATTTATTTTTTGATGTATGGTTTGCTATCTTTTGTAATTATTATTCCTAGTGTCCAGCTGGTAAATATGGATCTTTTAAGATTCTTTTTGTAAGCCCTAAGGGCTCTAAAAATATACGTAAATTATTTATCCCAAAGTATTTATTGTTGAATTGTTAAATATAATGTACATGTAGACCAGTTAATAAAATTATTTAATAAAGTTGATGGATAACAAGCCCAGATATGTTATTCTGAGAATAGCACAGACTGATCACTAAAATATTTCCAAATCGCTCATGTGACCTCAGAGACAGTTAAGATGCTACAGAAGCTGCTCTGCCCCTGGAGAGGCACATGGAAGAGGAAATAAGCTCTTAAAGCTCTTGCTTTCTCCTGCCACAAGCTGATCTGTTCCTTAGTTCCAGTCTGAGAAAACCTCATCGAATTGTATGAGTTTCCTTCTCCAGGTCATGCCTTAAACAAGACACCAAACACAGTCTTGAAACCCCTCATGTAACTGGTGTGCCTCTCCATCCACTCTCTGAATCTCACACCTGTTCTCTGCCCTTAGTCTTCTCCCTGTCCTCTGGGCCTGGCTGCTAAGGCACCCAGATGGGAGGGCTCAGGGGCAGCAAAGATTCCTGACTGTCCCAGGCAAGCAGCCTCTGGGTGGCTGTGCCTCTTACCCAAGGTGGCCTCGCTCTAAGGTCTTCACGCTCCGCCCGCCCCTGGGGCCTGCTAACCTTTCTTTCACCTCCTCCCTTCCAGCCAGCGTGGTGGTGGTCCACTGTTACCTCTCCAGGTGCTGTGCTGCCCTTGCAGTGTCCCTGGGCCCAGCTTTGGGAGTCATCTCCCAAAAGATGAGTGAGCGTCTCATCTCTCCGTGAGATGCTCCCTGTGTGACTCTTAGTGTGCCATCTGTTTCCTGACCCAGACACAGTCGCTGCCCAGAAAACAGCCTCTCAAACAGGCTCCTAGGACTGGATGGTTCATAGAGTCAAAAGCACAGTGATGGTTGGGATATGGGAAATCTTTGGGTTGCAGTAGCATCCTTACTAAACTATCATCAATGGTAGCACAGGATGAAATGCAGATAAAGGGCAAGATATTGTGAGATCCAAGGCCATGACATTAAATTGCTACAGCAAGAATAGTAATAAAAATTGTGATTATCACCTAGATTCTTCCAATGGTCCAGATACAGGACAAAGGGAAAAATTAGTTATGAATATACAACTTCATAAAAAAGCATGTATGGACATGCTCACTGTGGCTTTGAAATGGTCTGTCTCTACAGCAGTCACAGGGCACACCTGGCAGAGCCCGCTATGGGTCTGCAGAGAGGCAGCGGGCCCTCCCAGACCTCTCACCCAGAGGGCAAGAGGCAGAGGGACCCTGAGAGGTGGGGTGTGGACACAGGCTGAAAACACCCTGCTGTGCTGTTGACGAAGACAGCCCCTTCTCTGAGGAAAAACCACTCTTCTCCTTGAAAGCATCTCAATGTCTCACAAATTGAGGGTGATTTTCTGCACAACTCGCCTCTCCTAGTTTTCATTTCCTCCAGGCCTAAAGTGGGAACTGTTAACATCTCAACATTGCTGGGCAGTGAGCTACAAAGTGTTTAGACCAATGGGGGTGGAAAACAAGTCTTGTTCAGGCTGATCTAACTGAGATGAGTGAACTCCCTGGAATTCAGAAATGAATGAAAACTTGCAAATGCCATTAACAGCTGATTGAGTCTATGCGTGGACTCCAAGTGGCCTCTTTTAATGATGCTGAAGCACCAGAGCTTCCCTCTGAGGGAGGCTAAGGACAGGGAAAGGGCACTGTTGGAGTGGACTGACACAGGCAGACTTCACATCTGGCCCAGGAAGACACCAAGAAACACTTCAGTAAGGGGGCACCAGCAGCCACCTGAGTTCTGTGGAGATTTTCTTCCTTAGGACCAGAGATGACAGATGGTGCTTAATGGCTTAAAAACCATTAAGACATCATATGTATCTGACATCTATTATCACAGAGAAAATGACAGAGTAGTAGGTTGCATTTTAAGTCAATTTATAGGATGTATTAGGATCAAAAGATTTTTAAAGAGGAAATTCTCATACTTCTTGTTTACATAACGACATTCTTTCTCCTTTCTTACATCAAGGAACAATTATATTTAGGAATCGTGAATTTCACCTCATTCTCAAAGAAAATAAATTCGCCTTTGTAAGTCACAGTAATCATTAATGTTATGAAACTTAACAACATTCATATCTAGTCCCCATCAATATTTGCAAAATATTTTTATGTATTTCATGCACACATTATACTCAAATTATTTAGTTTGATTTAAGGCTCTCTTAAAATAATGCTCACTTCGTTTCATGTGCAAAATGAAATACAGGGCCTGGTACAAATAACACCCCTTTTTTATTACAAAAACATAAGCATGTAATTCTGTGCCATAACAATATTAACAATATCACTCTTGAGCATACCATATGACATTTTATGTGAAATGTTCAAATTAAAACCATAAATTATTATACCCACATTATTACCCTACCAACCACACTCAAGCAGGCCTTATATCTGCCAGACCCTGTAAAATTATCTAAGAATACTTCCCAAATAAAAAATTCTAAGTTTCTATAACAGATACAAGTGCTCATTTGACTGTTTTATCCCATATGGGCATTGCCTTAATACACGATGAACACAACTATGTTTTTTATTAACAGGTTTAGCATGCCACTTTCGAACCACTTTTATCCCATGGCACAGATAAGACGAGATTACCAAACATGGAGTAAAAACAGGCCAACTGCGCTGGGCTCCAGCTGTCCCTGGCCCCACACACAGCCCTCATAGGTTGAAGGGACTCAACACTAAGCCCCCATTCATAAGCCACCATTCACGCCATGAGTTTAAGGACTGCACTGCTTCTCCTAACTGAGCAGGATGGAGGGAGAGGGAAGCATGACAAAATGCAGGGCAGGGGTAGATCTAAGAATACAAATGGACAAAACACAAGCATGTAATTCTATAATGGACAGGATAGCCTGGACACAGCCTCCTGTCCTCACACACCTGTCCATCCTTCCTTCCTCAGGGCAACTGCTCGGCTTCTGCTCAATTCTTGCTCCTTGGGGTTCCCTCCCTGATTCCATTCAGTAATGCACTCACACAGCACAGGACTCCCCGACGGCAGGGCATGTCCCTGACCTGCTAGCACCCCACACCCCCAAACAAGTCATGACCATTACATTAGGCGGCTCCACTATAAATACACGCACATCGATGAAATTTTCCTGCTCTTATAAGCAAACATTAAAAATCAAACAAACACCCCAGCCACAGCACTGTTGCTCACCATCAAGCCACTGGAAGGCGACCTGTCTCTGCCTCCCTCCAGGTCCCCACTGCGCATCCAAGCCCTGACCACAGCCCGTCTCACACGGCCATGCAGCTCTTCCTCGCCTGGAGGACGGTGCTCCCCAAGGGTGCTGGTAGACCTGCCCACACCAAGAGGGCCTGTGATAACCTGCTCGGTGCAGCATGGGGGCCTTCTTTAGGGAACCAATCAGCATGGTGTGGCAAATGCTGATCCGGAAAAGCGATCAATGCGAGGCAGCACACAGGAGCCAGCTGTGCAGATCAGCTTTCCGTGGGGTGGGGAATCAGGCCTGCATTGTACCTAGGCTGCTGTGAGACTTGCTTTTGCTTCTGCTAAAACTCCCTCACCCTGAGTTAAGACTGCAGATGTTTAATGTGTATCTCTGAAGCAACTCCCTCAAGTCTGTGCTAAGATGTCCCAAGGACAAAACGTAACCAAATCAATCATTTTTATCATTCCCTTGCACTTGCAACTTTTTTTTTCTTTTTTGTTATCTTAACTAAATCTATAAATAATGAGAACCTTCTCTGATATAACGTGACTGGAAAGCAATAAAAGCCTGTCCAGGCAAGGGTCAACTCGCTCTCCCCTTGAGAGAGTGGCCGCGCCGTCCCTTTTCCTCCACAGGCCTTGGCAGTCCGTGTGAATTTGTGTACTGCGTCCACAACACACAGACTCCAGCAGGCCACAGTCTGCATTAGCCTTCTGCCACTTTGGCTCCACAAAAGGCCTTGGACTGGTGCCTCCCGCAAGCAACCAGGTTTGAGTAGTGCAGTTTTGTCCCTGGAGGACTCTTGGGGGTCCGCACTACCCTGGAAACTCCTTGTTCTGCTCCCCTAACTCTTCAGCTCCCCATCAGACAGCCCCACGTGTTCCTCGTACTTTCTCAGACTCAGATGTTCCGTGTTCCTTGATGTTCTAGTCCTAATATTCTCCTTTCACTCTCCCTGAGGCAAACACCTTTTCCCACAGTCTAATTACCTCTGTGCAAGTGATTCGTAAGTTTTTATCTTTATAAAAACGTTCAAGGTCTCCACCACAGCAGTTTCCATTGCAGACCACCTCCCAAACTGAGAAAGTACCCTAGACTTAACCCTCAACTTCTCCACTGAGTTCTACACTCCAGCATCAGTGACATCTCCCCTCTAATCTTTGCTGTGTCACACCCAATGAGTGTGAGCTCTCTGATGCAGCCTTCCAACTTTCACCCGTCCTTACTCAGACAACAGAACCTTAAAGCTGAAAGAGGGCTTCAACTTAGACACAACCAGTTCAGTGGTTTCTGAACAATTTTGGAAGTTGAAGTTTAGAAGTTTACTTCTCTGCAAGCAAAACAGCTGTACAACCCCACTCTGTAATAGATAAAAGATAATAAGCATTTCTGCTTTGACAAAGAGTAGCCTGGAGCCCTTTTTTCTATCTAGCTTCTACCCTTCAACAATAACCACTAGTAATAATTTCATCCTTGTAATAATGAAAAACCAAGCCAAGAGAGATTAACCTATAACTGTCACAAAAGCCAATGTCGTGTTTCACACCATCTCCTGACCCTTCTATTAGATGACAGACAGCCTTCTATGAAATGCCCTCTCCTTCATCCTTCACATAGTCTCTCTTGCCATCCCTACCTAGACATGATCTTTCCTTCTC